CAGCCTAAGAAACCTCTATTATCCTTAATTGCTCCTTCTCATCTATTTTCCACATTCAATTGGTTTCAAAGTTCTGTTGCTTCTAATACTTAAAATATCTTTTCAATCCAACCCCTACTTTCTTCTACAATATCATTCCATTAGTCAACCTTTATTTTTATGAGGCCCTACAAATAAGTTTTTAATTATTATGACAATAGCATGTTAAAGTTGATTTCAGAATATAAAATTTGCCATCTATACTGTTTTTACAATATACTATACAAGATTTGTAATGTCCTACACTGTGAATGTTCTTGATACGGATAAATGAAATTATTCGTTTAACATAAGCAAATATATTTAAATACGTGATATAGGAAGTTATAAAGGCTAGGAGTTTTGAACATGTTTTACTGAATACTGAAGAGTATTCGTAATGATCTTGGAAGTGGATATAGACATTTATGCTATACTCAAATATTGCTGGTTCTCCCAATCTTCAGGAACATGATATAATTGTTCTTCCTTGCTCCCTTGAAATTAGGAGTGACCCATATGACTTGCTTTGGCAATGAAATGTGACTGAAAGTGACATGTATCACTTCTGGGAAGAAATTTTATGCCAGTGCACAATTCAACCATTTTCTCTTTCCTTCTGCCACAGCTACAAACAATGGCTTAGTGGTTACTCCATCAGCCCTTGTCCCAAAATATAGATGAAACAGAGCAGACAACCTAAGCCAACTAGCACTGAATACATATCATAAGCAAGAAATAACTTAGGGCCCTAGCTGGTTTGGCTAGGTGGATAGAGCATCAGCATACGAACTTAAGGGTCCCAGGTTCAAATCTAGTCAAGGGCACATGCCTGGTCGCAGTCTCAATCCCCTGTGGGGGGCGTGCAGGAGGCAGCCAATCAATGATTCTCTCTCATCACTGATGCTTCTCTCTCTCTCTCTCCCTCTTCCTTCCTCTCTGAAATCAATAAAAATATATTTTTTTTAAAAGAAGTAACTTAAAGTTTTTTGTTTCTTTAATATATTTTTTATTGATTCCAGAGGGGAAGGAAGAGGGAGAGAGAGAAAGAAGCATCAATGATGAGAGAGAATCATTGATTGGCTGCCTCCTGCATGCCCCCTACTGAGGACTGAGCCTGCAACCTGGGCATGTGCCCTTGGCCAGAATCCAACTTGTAACCCTTGAACAAAGAATTTGAATAGACATTTATACAGAGCAGATATTGCCAATAAGTACAAGAAAATATGCTCAACATCACTAATCACTAGGGAAATGCAAATAAAAAATTTGTAACCTGTCTGTAGGCCAATGCTCTATCGACTGAACCAAACCGGCTAGGGCAGTGGTCGGCAAACTCATTAGTCAATAGAGCCAAGTGTCAACCAACAGTATAACGATTGAAATTTCTTTTGAGAGCCAAATTTTTTAAACTTCAACTTCTTCTAACACCAATTCTTTAAAATAGACTCGCCCAGGCTGTGGTATTTTGTGGAAAAGCCACACTCAAGGGGCCAAAGAGCCTCATGTGGCTCGCGAGACACAGTTTGCCGGCCATGGGGCAAGGGCAACTTAGGTTGCTTTAAGACACTGAGATTGCTATGGTTAGTTATCACACACTGAATAATACAGAAATGGGGGAAGTTGCTAGAGGTGACCAAAACCCACTCTATTAAGGAAGACCTTAATACTACTGTCACACAGATGTAGAAACAGGAGACTAGCAGCATAAGGGACAACCACCTGAGGATGGTGTAACAGTGTTTCCCAAAGTGTGGTACGCGTACCCCAGGGGTACGGGAAGAGTTTGGTGGGGGTATGCACTGCACCGTGCTTAGCTGCGCCTAATTCTACGTTTTCATGAGTACAAGGGGTACTCAGCGTTACAAAAATTATAGAAGGGGTACACATATGTCAAAAGTTTGGGAAACAATTGAATATGTTTTAAAAGAACACTCTATAAAAAGAACACTCTATAAAAAGAACACTCATGGGAATTCTGAAAAAAGAATATTCAATGGAACCTTGCTTTTCATCTCCCTCAAGCATGTAATCCATTCTTCACGAATCAGCCAAAGTGATACTTTTAAAATATTAGTGAGATCTTACGACTCCTCTGCTAGAAACTGGCCAATGTTTCCTACACTTAAGATAAAATCCACACTCTTTACCTTCGCCTGTGAACCCTACTCATCTGGCCCTTTTGTGGTTTATGAATCCTCGATCACAACTTTCATGCCCACTTTATGGACTTCACCCTGATTGTGCCCTCAGCCTGGGATGGATCCTTCTCAGGGATTCTCATCAGCTCAAAAATCAGTCTCTAAGAAAAAGATCTTAGCTGACTACCCTATAGAAAGTAGACTCCCTCCATCTACCAATCATCTATGTTTTATCATCACCCTTTTATCTTATTTTTTTACCTTTTTATTGATTTTTAGAGAGAGAGGAAGGGAGAGGAATAGAGAGATAGAAACATTGATGAGAGAAGAACACCATCGATCATGGCCCTGTTGTGAAACAAGCCCCCAACCTGGGCATGTGCCCTGACCCGGAATTGAACTGGCGACCTCTTGGTTTCTAATTGATGCTCAACCACTGAGCCACACCTGCCACGCTGTTTTATTTTCTTTTTTTTTTATTTTCTTTTTTTTTAAAATATATTTTATTGATATTTTACAGAGAGGAAGGGAGAGAGATAGAGAGCTAGAAACGTCGATGAGAGAGAAACATCGACCAGCTGCCTCTTGCACACCCCCCACCGGGGATGTGCCCGCAACCAATGTACATGCCCTTGACCGGAATCGAACCCGGGACCTTTCAGTCCGCAGACCGACGCTCTACCACTGAGCCAAACCGGTTTCGGCTGTTTTATTTTCTTTATAGCACTTCTCACTATCTCAAAATACCTTTTTTGTTTATTTTATTGTTTTCCTTCTGCCTCTACCCAAGTGAATGTAAATTCCATGAGAGTAGAGGCCTTCTAACATTTTGAACAGTATTTGGCACATAAAAAACAGTCAGAAAAAAAATAAAATAAAATAAAATTGTAGCCTGACTGGCATGGCTCAGTGATTGAGTGTTGACCTATGAACCAGGAGGTCATGGTTCAATTCCAGGTCAGGGCATATGACCAGGTAGGTTGTGGGCACAGCACTCAATGCTACAATGGGGGGAGGAGGGGATGCAGGAGGCAGCTAAAGAATGATTCTCTCTCTCTCTTTTTTTTTTTTTTAATGTATTTTATTGATTTTTAACAGAGAGAAAGGGAGAGAGATAGAAACGTCAATGAGAGAGAAACATCGACCAGCTGCCTCTTGCACACCCCCTACTGGGGATGTGCCCACAACCAAGGTACATGCCCTTGACCGGAATCGAACCTGGGACCCTTCAGTCCGCAGACCGACACTCTACCAGTGAGCCAAACCGGCTTCGGCTAAAGAATGATTCTCATCATTGATGTTTCTATCTCTGAAATCAATAAAAAATATTTTTTAAATATTTGCAAACCGTGTGTCTGATGAGGATTTAAAATCCAGAATATATAAGGAACTCCTACAATTCAGCAACAAAATTCAATTTAAAAATGAACAAAGGATTTGAATAGACATTTATACAGAGCAGATATACAAATGGCCAGTAAGCACGTGAAACGATGCTCAACATCACTAATCATACGGAAATGCAAATCAAAATTACAATGAGATACCACTTCACACCTTTTAGGATAACTACTAATTTAAAATAAAATTTTATTGATTTAAGAAAGAGAGAGGAAAGGAGGGAGGTGATAGATCCTCCCTTCCTCCAACTAGTGGACTAAGTATGATGTAACCTGTACCTGTGGCCTGGACATACCGCAGCACCTAACCAGGCACCTTATATGGACTATACATTGAACCACCAATCAGCACCTGCCTAATACCCTAAGCCCTTTCCCTAAGGACCTGAGTGACTAACTATGTGCCTTGTCTGGACCATACATTAAGCCACCATTCTTCAATTGTGTGCCGAGTACACTAAGCCCCCATTCCTTCCCATTCCTCCCCTCAAAAGGCATCTTCACCTCTGCGCATGTTGCTATTCTCCCTGCGAGACAGCCTGGCAGGTCCTTCTCCTCCAATAAAGCCGGTAGTCCTGTTTTTTCCGCCCTCTGCCTGATGGTTCAGGAGAGAGAGAGAGAAGAGAAACATTGATTTGTTGTTCCACTTATTTATGCATTTATTGGTTGATTCATATATGTGCCTTGACCAAAATCAAACCCACAATCTTGGTGCATCTGGACAAAATGAGATACCAGGCCAGAGCCTTGGCTACTAATTAAAAAATAAATAATAATAATAATAATAATAATAATAATAAGTGTTGCCAAGGATGTGGAGAAACTGCACTTGGCTACCTCCAATGATTACTAGTACTGTGTGTGTGTTTCTGTGTGTGTGTGTGTGTGTGTGTGTGTGTGCGTGTGTGTGTGTGTTGAGAGAGAGAGGAAAAAATATGATGGATTCCAGGATTAATGAAATGTTACACTGAAAATCACTATTTTTAAATTTATTATTATTTTTTTATTTCTAGCTTCTTTTGAAAAATGGAAAGATCTGAGGACACTGGGCACATTCCCACGGCAATCTCCTGACACCAGGCAGCCCAAAGGAGCCACCCCTCAGGTACCCCAGCCCGCTGGTGCATCCTGGCCCCTGGAAGGCCCTGGAGTCGGTGACCAGGCTCCAGGGCAACAGGCACGTGAGGAAGGGGACTGCCAGGGGCTACACAGACAGGAGCCTCCTCTCCCTCCAGAGCCCGGGAGTCCCGACCGGGGCAGGCAGTGAGGGCCAAAGCCCCTACACGCTGGGCCACCAGCGAGGCCAGGCGCTGTGGAGGCGGGAGAGAAGGCAGACCTGGCCAAAGCACAGCAGCCGAGGCTGCAGGGCAGTGCAGTGAGGTGGTATCCGTTTATTGTGGGTGTAATACAGTGCCATCTTTCCCCAGAGGTGTGCTGAGAGAAGGGGGCCCTAGTTTATAGCAACAGTGCTTCCACCAAGAGCTGCTGGCACAGTCCCTGTGGAAAAGGCCTGGTCCCATTGCTCCTCCCAGGGCGGAGAGCGGCCATCAGTCCTTTGGTGGGAAGAAGTCAAGGAAAAACAAGCAACAGGAATGTGAGGAGACAGACTGGTGATACCCACAGGCAGGAATGGGTCCCAGTCCCCACCCCCAGGGGAGGGGGGAGCAGGGGGAGCCTCAATAGGGGCCTCAGACTGCAGTGTGTTAGAGAACCTGGATTAGCATCTACAGGAAGCAGACCCCTCAGTCCATGAGGGAATTGCCACCCAGCCTGCCCCCAGAGGCCCTTGTTGGGAGCCTCAGCTTAGGGCCCCCAGCTCCCTAGTGCAGCCAGCACAGCCCCTGTCCTGAGAGGTCCCTGCAGAGCGAGGAACGAGGGAAGCACCTGCTGGAACTTAGACAGAAGGAGGGTCTCGTCCGTCAGCCCCCCTCATGGCTGAGGACAGTCACTGAGACAGCAACATGCAGAGCTCCGGAGGGGGGAAGCAGGCTCGGGCCACCTGCCCAGGCGAGAAGACAGGAACCAAGCCCAGCGGGCCGGGCAGGAAGCAGCTCTCTCTCCTGCTCTCTGCCTGTGGGGAGCAGGACCCTGGAGGCAAGGGGCCTGCACACACCTTGCACACAGAACTTTACCGGCTAAGAATCCCGTCTGGATGTGGCCCAGAGGGAAGGACCAAGGAGCTGCCGTCACAGCAGGGCTGGGCCGGACGAGGGCAGGTGTGCGCAGCAGCTATTGTTTTCCAGACCGGGGCCCCTGGACCCTGCTTTCTCCTTGGGTCTGTCACAGCATCTGAGCCATCAGAACCAGACTGGACAGGGCTGAGCCAGCGCGGGTAAGAGTGGGAGTCCCCTGGCTGTTAGCTCTTGTTGGAGGGAGGGGGGAGAGAAGGGAGAGAGACTTGCTCTTGGCCTCACGCTTATTTCCCAGCAGCTTCAGCACCTTCACGGTCTTGAACTTCCCCTTCTTCCTGCCCTCAGATTCAATCCCCTTCTGGAACTCTTTCATCTTTTTCTTTCTTTTCTTTTCTTTTCTTTTCTTTTCTTTTCTTTTTTTTTTTTTTCCAGAATGGAAGGGAAAGAGAGACAGAAACATCGATGAGCGAGAAACACCGATCAGCTGCCTCTTGCACACCTCCTACTGGGATATGCCCGCAACCAAGGTACATGCCCTTGACCGGAATCGAACCTGGACCCTTCAGTCCACAGGCCAATGGTCTATGCACTGAGCCAAACCGGTTAGGGCTGGAACTCTTTCTTCTTAATCATGGCTTCCAACATCTTATCTTGCTCTTCCTCCCTCTGCCGGTCCTCACCCACGCTGTGGACCCTGAAAATCAATGTTTTTAAAAAATTATTGACTTCAGAGAGGGAGAGATATAAACATCAATAATGAGAAAGAATCACTGATCGGCTGCCTCCTGCATGCCCCACACTGGGGATTGAGCCCTCAACCAGGCTGTTCCCTGACCAGGAACCCAACAACCACGGAGCCACAGTGGCCAGGTGAAATTCTTTTTTTAATTTTAAAAAGTGTTATACTATATCTTAGCTATGGTATTTGCCCTAAGTAGTCAGACTCTTCCTGCCCCTGTTTCTCTCTGTCTCTCTGTGAGTCTGTGTGTGTGTCCTTCCATCTCTGTCTCTTATTTTCTTCTTTGTGCATTTTATTCAATTCTTACCATAGACTGCTAACTGCCTTCCATCTCCAGTCTCTCTCTCTATCCAATCTACCTCCACACTGCGCCCAGGTTTATCTTACATTTCTTTTTTTAATATATTTCATTGATTTTTTTTTTTGATTTTTTTTTTTTACAGAGAGGAAGGGAGAGAGATAGTTAGAAACATCGATCAGCTGCCTCCTGCACACCTCCTGCTGGGGATGTGCCTGCAACCAGGTACATGCCCTTGACCAGAATCGAACCTGGGACCTTTCAGTCCGCAGGCCAGCGCTCCATCCACTAAGCCAAACCGGTTTCGGCTATCTTACATTTCTTTTTTAATATGTTTTTATTGATTTCAGAGAAGAAGGGAGGAGAGATAGAAACATCAATGACGAGAGAGAATCATTGATCACCTGCCTCCTGAAAGCCCTCTACGGGGGATGGAGCCTGAAACTCGGATATGTGCCTGGGACTTGAACTATAACCTCCTGGTTCATGGGTCGATGCACACTGGCTGGGCTATCTTATATTTCTGAATCACAGATCACTTTATCTAATGCCTCTATATAAAACCATTCAGAAAGTTCAAGGTTGTTGTTGTTTTTCTTTTCATTTTTTTATTAAGGTATTATATGTGAACACATCTTACCATTGCCCACCCCCAAGTCCAATGTATTGACCTTTTCTTTATGATTTGTGATTATTTTATCTTATCTAAGAAATCTTTGCCCATCTTAAAGTTGTAAAGATTTTCTTCTGTACTTTTTTAAAAATTGATTTTTTATTGATTTCAGAGAGGGAGAAATAGAAACAACAATGATGAGCCCTATCCAATTTGGCTCAGTGGATAAAGCATCAGCCTGTGGACTGAAGGGTCCTGGGTTCGATTATGGTCAAGGACAGATGCCTGGGTTACAGGCTTGATCCCCAAGGAGGCAGGTGATCAATGATTCTCTCTCATCATTGATGTTTCTATCTCTCCCTCTTCTTTCTTCTTCGAAATCAATAAAAATATGTTTAAAAAAACAATTATTTAAAAAAGAAAAATAAAACATCACTGATGAAGTGAATCATTTATCGCCCCACACTGGGGATCAAGTCCGAAATCTGGCATGTGCCCCTGACCAGAATCGAATCCGGGACCTTCCAGTCCACAGGTCAATGCTCTATCTATTGAACCAAACCAGCTGGGGGTCTTCTGTGCTTTTGAAGAAGTTTTATAGTTTTAGCTTTATGTTTAGGTCTAATATATTCCTTAATGTATAGTGTAAGATAGTGGTTGAGGTCAAATTTTTCTTCCATAAAGGTATCAAGTTGATCCAACACTATTTGTGGAAGAATATTTTACCCCTTATGAATTACCTTGGTGCCACAGAGAGCAAAAACAAAATTATTTCACTAAACCTGAATAAGTGGCTATATCATGAGTAAATAAATAGTTTTTGTTGTTTTAAGCTACTAATTTTGGAGATGGCTTTACATGTCAATAGATAATCAAAACATATGGCAATAAACATCATTTCAGTAGTTGCCTTGGGGAAGGGGGAGATCATTTTCAAAGGGCACAAGGGGATTTTCAGGAGTGATGGAAATGTTCCATATCTCAATTGGAGTAGTAGTTATAAGAATTTATCAAAACTTTTTAAACCATAGACTTAAAATCTAAATATTATAATGTATATAAATTATACCTAATGAAGTTGATTTAAAAATAATAACTTTGCTGCTGAAACCGGTTTGGCTCAGTGGATAAAGCGTTGGCCTGCAGACTGAAAGGTCCCGGGTTCAATTCTGGTCAAGGGCATGTACCTTGTTGCGGGCACATCCCCAGTAGAGGGTGTGCAAGAGGCAGCTGATCGATGATTCTCTCTCATCGATGTTTCTAACTCTCTATCCCTCTCTCTTCCTCTCTATAAAAATCAATAAAAAATATATTTAAAATAATAATAATAACTTTGCTGACTCTTTTTTTTTATCTTTATTGTTGAAAATATGTCCCCTTTTCCCTGCATTGATCTCCTCCAGCCTGCTCCCACTCCCCACCCTAGGCCTTTACCACCCAATTATCTGTGCCCATGGGTTATACATACAAGGTCTTTGGTTGATTACCTCCCATCCACCCTCCCTCGCCTTTCCTCCAAGATTCCGCACTCTGTTCCATGCTTCCATGTCTCCGAAGCCACTCCATTCATCAGTTTATTTTGTTAATTAGATTCCACATCTGAGCAAGATCGTATGGGACTTGTCTTTTTCTAACTGATTTATTTCACTTAGCATGATACTCTCCAGGCCCTCCCCTGCTGTCTCAAAGGGTAAGAGGTTCTTCTTTTTCACTGTTGCACAGTATTCCCTGGTATAAATGGACCACTGCTTTCTTATTTTTCACTATTAACTAGAAAACAAAGATTAAATGCCTCGGCTTGCTGGTAGACTCTTTACAATGTAGCCCCAGTCTGAATTTCCAAGTTATTCCATTCCCACTCTTTATATCAAATCTAAATAAAATTATTTGCAGCTTCACATTTGCCCAGGCTTCTTGTTGTTCCGTCTTCCTGGAATACCATGCCTTCTGATCTCAGGCTGCTGAAGTCCCAATCATCCTGACACCCCCTCTTCCCATCCCTGTGCTGAGATGGTCTTCCCATCCCTGTGACACCCCCTCCTCTTGCTTGCAAAAACACTTTGTGAATACTTTTATTATAATATTTGTCACGTTTTGTTGTAAGGTTTTGTTCACATGTTTCTCTCTTTCATTACACCCTGACTTCCTTCAGGGAAACTACAACTTCTGAATCATCTTTGTATCACCATAATCTAAGCACCTGGCAGCCAGTAGATAGTACTCAGTAAGTGGTGAATGAATTATATCAGCCAGAGTCTCCTTTTGCTTTGCTCATTACTTTACGGTTCTTCTCCAGCACTCTGTGGTAAAGGTGTCTCTTGAATCTCCATCCACTGCTCACTCGCGCTCTCTCTCTCTCTCTCTCTCTCTCTCTTCCCTTTGGCAGTCTCTAAAATCTCACCCAACATCTTGGCTACAACTACTTCTTCAAAAGTCATTCATTATCAGCAAATGTTTACTGAGCATTAAGAACATTATACTAATAACTTGAATACAAGAACTTATAAAAGAATCCATTGAGAATTTGAAGAGAACTGAATATTGAAGACAAGAGAAAATGGAATCATATATCTGAATTAATTCTGAGTCTGTGTGCCAATCAACGATTTTTCTCTCATCACTGACATTTCTAGCTCTCTCTCCCTCTCCCTTCCTCTCTGAAATCAATAATATATATTTAAGCCCTAGCCAGTTTGGCTCAGTGGATAGAGCCTCGGCCCTCGGACTGATTTGATTCTGGTCAAGATATGCAGGCTTGCCAAAACTGGTTTGGCACATTGGTTAGAGCGTCGGCCTGCAGACTGAAGGGTCCCAGATTCGATTCCAGTCAAGGGCATGTACCTTGGTTGCGAGCACATCTCCAGTCGGGGAT